CGGACTCTCTGGATGTTACAGCTAACTCAGGTATGCAACGAATGAACAATGCACATTGTTTTCATTTAAAGACCACGTGACCTGCATAATCGATTGTCTAAGATCAGTCCATCCTCACTCGAAAACCAAAGCCGGTTCTTGAGATCTATGAGTCCCAAAGGGCACTCTTGGCATGGCATCTTGCAGTCTCACAAACACTGGATCACTTTCGGTGGCCATCCTAATGTTCTTCAATTTATCCCCCGGGATGAAACTGGTATCAACATAAATAACTAGTTCGGATTCCTTACTCTTGCTATCTTCTGGCTTGTAAGCCTTAGAAATAAGCACCGGGCTTCATTGTTTATATGAAAGTTCTTGGTCGTGCCTTTTGCTTATAGAATAATCTGCCACACTGGCTGGTTACTCCACTTATAGCTTTTTGACAGCGCAGACTAGAAGTTGCGGCCCGTAAACCCTACCGTCCCCCTCCCCAAACACAGGTGTCAAAACATTCTACGGAAACCTTTGACGCTTCCTGTTATGTCCTACTCAAATCATATCGTTCATCGGCTTGCCTTTTTGAAGCAGCACTGCTCCAAAGCCAGACTAGCTGCTATCCTAATGAATGATATGGTCAATAGTGACTTCTGTAAGGGTTTTGCTCGCCTGTTAGAACGGTCTTCACACCACTCACACATGTGCGTCGGGATGCGATTTAGCTGCACTATACTTTCAAGTTGGTTTCATAAGTACTGTGATGTGGCAGACCTGGACCTGTCGGTTTACCAACAGGCACAATCATAACCGATTCGACTCGTTACTCAACACTTCACGCAGCGGTACAGGAACTTCGCTCACTAACAGTGCTACGGGGATTGCACTGTATGTGGTAGATATGTTGACTTCCGGTAGGTGTGGGGTAACCAGGCCATGCAGAACCTAAGACCAGTGGATAAAATCATTCAGCTGTAGCACCCTTTCGGTGTCCACCTACCATGCCATTCGAAGGAAGCACGAAGACTGGGATACTGCCAGGTTGCCCGAGCTTAGACAGGGGAAGTCCACTATTGACGAGAATTCGAAGAAATGCACTCCAACCAATCATCAGAGCTTCTCACAGTAGGCAACCTCGGGCTTCCATTATCGGATTTGCAAAGCTAATTTGTCTTAGTTAATGGAACAGCTTAAAGCTAGTGGTGATTTGGAAAGGCCAAAAATCGATGTAACAGGACCTTCCAAGTTAGTCTTCCTGACCAACAGCAGAGTTGCTGTTTGTGCACTCACCATACCTTCAGTTCATAAGCCATAGCTCGTAAACTCTGCGAGAGCCTAACAAATAACGGATATGAACGCTTTCCAGAAAAATTAGTATTCTCCGGTAGAACAGCCAATTCAGCTTTCTTTAGCATTTTCGTCCGTTTTTTTACGCTTGTCCCATTTGTGTGCAGGACCGCATGCCTACCATGTGTTTTTATGCAGGAGTGTGTGAGCCGACGCGAGCGTGTGGGCAAAAACGGCCATAAAAAGTCTACGATTAGCATAAAAAGCTATAGCACAAATGAACCAGCGGTATAAAAACGAAGATAAATGCTACAGGAAGTCTTTATGGTAACCATGGCAACTGCTTTGGATTCCGACTGGGGTGAACACTAAACACAGGAGAAACTAATCTGGATTGGCACTTTCCTTACTAGTTTCGGTGCGGGTGTAACCCGGCAACTGATAAGCTTCGCGGCCAAGCATGCAACTACTCATTTGCACCCATGCTATTGTCATTGTGAGACTGTTGCCCGCATGTGTTGCTTTTCTGAGCATGCTGATTCACCCGTTGGGCGTCTGGCTGTCCTTCTTGAGTTGACTTAACAAAAAGCACCCATTTCTGACATAGTCCGTACTCTGAGAAATCTTCCTCCATTAAATCAGCTCCACTGGGGACTGCGCTGCACAAATTGCAATTGCATTCACACCCTCGAATGTCTTATCTCCAAATTTTGAGTAACTGAACACCAACTGCAAGCCTTGTCAGCCTTAAACTTTCGAACTGGTTAACAGATTTGTCAGAAAGACTTAGATACATTAACCTAGGTACATGTTCCTCGTCAACGTTCGCGCATAGTGTTATGACATTTGCCTTGCATTTGAACGTTTTTAAACAGGATCGCGTGGCATTTTGAACTACAGCACTAGTTACACGAGCGAAACAATATCCGAGTTGGTACGATCTAGTAGGCTTTCAGATGCAAAGCTATGTTCAAATGCAAAGCGTTTCAAAAGGTATCATAAAGGGCAGTGTCGTGTTTATTCTCTTCATCGTCCTTAATTACATAAAGACAAATACGTCTTTCTCACAAGAAACGCTGCTGACCACCTTCCCTACACAATGCACAAGTGACATTGTACTTGAACTCCACTGAGGTCAAAGTTAGTTTGTTTCACCTCCTTACGAGATAACATGTCATCAGCTTCAGAGCATTCTGAAAACTTTGCTATTTCTCAGTGAGTTGAATTCCTAGTGCCGACCGCACTTTTCTGAAAACATCGGTGTCAATATACTACGAATCCTTGGAGTATCCAGTCAACTATATTGGACGTAACAGATGCACGCGACATACCAAATCACCAGTTTTGTTTTGTGATCGTTTATAAAGTGGGACACCTTTTGAAGAGACCTAAACCCAGGGGACTAAATGACGTCATCTGGATGACGGATATGCAGTCCTCATACACATATATTAGGCAGACTTCACCTCTCGGTGAAAAGTAACATTACTGACGCATGCCTATCATCGGAGTAACCAGTGCAATCTTCCTATATGGCTCCCTTGTCATATCACTCCTCCTTTGAAACTGAGACACTTGATCGACTTTAATATGGGATTTCCCCGCTGACGCGTCATGCTTAATATGCTGCCTGAAACAATTCCTTATAGGCTAGCTTTTCGAATTACCCTGCGACACGTTTGAAGGATGACCTACGGAACCCTTATTGGCTCAGTACTGCAGCTTTTCCAGAATGTGAGCCTTCAGGACGATCGTCAATTGTCTCACCATTGTACAGGGTATACCTATCCGCTAGATAGACATCCACAAGCCTGACTGGTAAATTAAGATGCCCTTCGCGTGACTTACCGCCAAACCACTGTTTAGTGAGATAAAAACGCAATTAATATCCATGGCATCATAGTAGTTTTGCTGACCCAGTCTAAGATATATGTGCAGTCGTCAACGACATTCACACCTCGATGTACTAAGGGTGTGTTCACCGAAAATCCGTGTAAGTCATGCTCACCAGAAGAGATTACTGTTGGTAGTGAGATTTTGGAATTTTAACGAATATTTTGTCCCGTAAGTGCTGAAGAGCCGAGAAGCACTGCACAACCGTTCCACCAGAGGATGCGTGGTACTATATCTCGTCTGAATACGAACTAATAACACCGTTGGCCCAACGATCAACTGTTCAAACTACTAGCGTGGGTCCGAGACACTGAAGTTTCGTGAGACGCTCATTAGTGATGACTCCCGACAAGGATGCAACCGCTGTACAGTATTTCTTGTATTTTTTTCTGCACAGACTGGTTCCATTTACTGGATGGAATCAGTACCAATTGATGTTTATATCCCTGGTCGGGGCCAACAACAAAATGCACTCAAGTTCCAGACGAAGCCAGACAACCAACACTCCCTAACTTCCACACAACTCCAAAATTGCGACCAGTCGGTTGACTGGTCGGTGCTGTCTGGTACTGTGGAGTTACCTGTGAATGGATTGTCATTTTGTAGTGTTACCAGTGAACTGACAGCTACAACCATAAGTTTCGTCTCATTAGTTTCTCACCCGTTAGACAACATTGATACCTTTTAAAAAATAATCAATAAGAGACAAAGAAGTCGGCTGTCACTTTCACATCCATTGCTTACCTACGGGCTTGAAGGTTTACTTGCAATCGCATACGCCTGGCATGGACAAGTTCCGATGATTCATCTCAACAAACGTCCACTCGCCGTGCATAACCACTGATACACTGATAACGCCACCACGAGTGGTGAAAGTGGATTTTCTGTCTCAGTTAACAGGCCAACGATCATCTACTCTACATGAGCTGCCAACATTCTCCCCAACTACTAATTTACCCGCACACGAAAGGCCTGACTGGTGTCTATTTCACTGAGTAAACGAGTTATTTTACCGTCCCGTTCTTATACAGGCTTTGCTCGATGAGCTGAGGATTTACTGTTTTTGCATGGTCTGATCAAACAATCACCGTTGTTCGTAACATTCAGCAGCTTAACGTCCTAAGCTATATCAACGGCTTTTGGCCATTAGGTTTTCTTGGTTCGAGGCTGATCGACGGCTGCGAAACGGGGATTGTCTGGAAATGGATTGCTTCGATCACGTGGTTCCATTCTTCTGTAGCTGAATTCCGCAGTAGTTTTAAATTTGCGCTAATTACAAAGCTACTGGTGGGATGCGGATGATCGTCACAGATCATGAAAAGCTAAACTTCTTGTATAGCCTGTTGGGTATGATATTTGATGTTTCGGTACACCGTGACAATTTCATCGCAAAATTGGACTCGGAATTTAGGTGTTCACCGGATTACTGAGCACTGACGTGGAAACCCAGTGATACTGACAGTGATATCTGTCCATGAACGTGGGTACTCCAGGGTACATTAGATTTCCTACACGCACAAGATACACATAACACTGCTCTCTGAAATAAACATGGACCAAAAAAATCTGCACAAACATGGACCGTTTCTCTAATGCAAAAATGATATGGGTCGTTTGTCAGGTGAACCCTCAGAAGAGGTCAGCTTAACTATTTGATTTATAGCGACTAACTTCAGTCCGAAGATGAACCGGCTCTGCCGATATCCCACAATGACAGTTCAGGCTCGGCAGGCCTTTTTCATAAACGTACATTGTAAACGTGAAGACCACACTTATCAAATTTGTTCGAGCAGTAAGCGACCCAAACCGAAAAGACAGTCAAGATAACAATACACAATGGTACTTTGGATCGCAAAGTTGTAGCCTGAAACTGTTGACCATCAACACATTACAAACGCCTCTTAGAGACGTGATCAATGCAACCTTGTCTCAAAAGCACTTTTCAATCACAACAATACTCCCAGGAAACATAAGGCTAAACAATGAATGACCTGTTTAACACCCAGTGAAGAAGTGGCACGGTGCACTGCACTGTGTTATCGTTATAGGTGGCATCCGGAACACAAAACGGGTGATCTGGGACAGTAACGACAAAATTCTGAGACACTTAGATTTCGACCAGTCAGCCGAATCAAGTCAGTAGAAATCACCACCAGTATTCAGTATAGTTATAGTTGGAGACCTTGTAAAATCGATGAGATATTGAGGTGAAGAAGAAACCAACGTCCTCCTAGAAACGGATTCCAATCAAAGAAAACAAATGTTAAAGTCTGTGACTGGAATTATAAGCCGAATAAAATTACAAGGAAATATTACAGTTACCTGTCTGAAAACAAGCGTACGCAGGGATAGCACCCTAAAGATAAAAATATACATAGTGTGTGTTCGTCAAAGGACAAAACCAATCCGGAGCGCGAACAAATGAAGGGATCAAAGCAGTAATCACCGACAAAATTAGTGTGAGTTGATAAAAAACAGGCATGATGGGACTTGTCTCCATTGACTGTGAATGAAGGCACAAAGGAGTAAATCTGATGGTCCAACTTGGTTGTCAAACAACTCGTACATTTATTTAACGCAATGGCAAGAGTGCATTTCATGATTATAAAAGGAGGTCGAAGCGCGCAAAACAAGGCGTTATTCAAATGAATGAGAACTAAATGGTGACAACGATGATCAGCATGCAGAGAGACATATAATATTAGAATGAGAAAATTGGTTCAGATCAAACTGGGACCTTCTCGTACGCACAGGTGCCGGTCACACAACACAACACTTGGTTTGTTTGGAACTTCTGGCCTTCGGTTCCGGAGTTTTACTGTTAATTTGGCGAACCAAATCACAGAAAACCTGGGAAAAAAAGGAGAAAAGCATCAACACAGTAAAAATTGATAGGAATGAGCTATTGACCATCTGATGGGCAACCTTTGCAGACAAGCAGAGCGAAGTCGAAAAGTGACTAAAAGATTTGTCGGGGGACAAAGTTCCGTTTTGAGAAAAATGTCTCATGGCCATTGGGTATTCACTCCTCTTGTAGGCTCTGGGACTCGATAAAACATGGTGTGTATGTTCACATAAAAAGGCAAAATGAGCTTTCAGAATCTTAGAGACGGCTCATCTAAATTTCGTCGCACGGGGCAGAATAAGCAAGATACTGTGTCCGCCTAGGTCTAGCCGCCCTGGCAGTATCCCGACCCACGTAAAATATCGTTCAGCTGTAACACCCTTTCGGTTCCTAGCTGCCACGTTGCCCAAACTCAGGCGAAAGAAGTCGAGGTTGGGTTTCAACCAGACCACTCGGTCGGTAAATCTACACTTTAACCATGGAGCCACGTTGGCCCACGTACAACTATGAATTTCACACCTATAAATAATTTCAGGCAATAGCTGAAGTTGGGTGGTGCTATCAGTTGGGTCGCCTTATTTGCTGTATATGACAGGGTGGGTGTACCAAGACAGACTACTGCTGAAGCCTCCCTTCTTCGTCTTTCACATATTCGTTCTTCTTCTCCTCAACACGCTAGGAACGACAACTCAGTAGGCCGATGTTTAAGAACTACTAGATCCGTTAGCTGCAATATCTATGGTCGACTCGGCCACCAAAGTTACTCACACAGCGAATTCATTTTTTCAAACCTCGATGCTTATTTCATCTGGCAGCCTTTAACTCTGAAGCAGGGTGGACAACGGACTACTCTTGTATGTAAACTGAACCCACCTCTGGTGATCCACAAGCCACAACGACTAGTTCCTCAGGGGTTCACACTGCTCTAAGCCACTGAGCTGAAGAGCATCTTCTTGAATGGATGTCCGTTGATGGTCAGCTGTGTGCGGTTCATTTGGTAACGTTAGTGACAGCATCCCATAAACGCGCCGATGATCACTGCATGTCCATAGTACCTGCTTACGACTCAACAGGCTGTAGCTCTGATGCACTAAAAGACAGCTTTTACGACACCTAGTGCGGTGGGCCAAGAGCTCAGATATTGTTGTGGTTACCGGAGAAATTAATGGTAGGCTTAGCGCTGCTGAAGATCAACTGGGTGGTCGTCTTAGACTAGAATGGAGACGCACGGTAAACGGCTAACGCCCACTGTGATTGTGTGCTAATCACAGAGTGTTTCCATGGAGTACTAGCATCCGCAACAACTGAAATCACTAGGTTACATATCCCTCCAACATGCGCACTAACCTCCAACACAGATAGATCACATCACCCTTAGTTATAGAAGCGTGAGTCCATTACTAACCTGCTCGTTTTCGAACATCATCATCATCAAGGAAAGCAACATCAGTGTTGGCACTGATGCTTCACTGCCGCACAACTATAAGGTTCATCCAGTTTATATATATACACATAATTGTGTTAAAAGCCCTACAGTGAAGAGGAGTAAAAGAGTGGGTGAGGGAGGAGACCTATTGCTGTCAAGCACACTGAGGTGCCTACACCTCCAACCGCTCAATCAGACAATCTGGAAAGAAACTGACAGCACGAACGCCACTGACATCGATTAGCCACCATTTCTTGCAATGTCTCCAGTCAAGCACAGACGGGGTCACAGGGACCCCATTCTGGAAAGCGCACAATACCAACAACACCCAAACTTTTCGTGATCTCTTTGACGCCTTTCTGCCAAGTCATGTGCTGTACACCTCGCGGTTTGCGCCATCCTGAAGAAGGCACGGAGAATAACACTCATCTCGGTAGACGGTGTTTCGGCATGCATAGCACATGACCCAGCCATCACAGTCGATGATGCTGGATGTTTTCCCGGATTGAGGTGCCTGCAGTACAACCAAATACCCGTTCCCACCACATTCGGGCAATGCTCCGAAGATATTCATGGTCAAACACTGACGTCCTCAGCACGCAGCGGCCAGGTTTCTGATCATATAGTAATATGGAGCGCACCGCAGCATTGTAAACTCGACCCTTGATAGAGAAGCACATGTCACACCTACGCCACAGATGACGTAGGTTCGTAAAAGCTGCCCTGGCCTTCCCAATCCGAATGGAAATATCATCTTTCGCCAGACCACCGGGACTGACACAGCTGCCCAGGTAAACAAATTTGTCTACTACCTCAATCGGTTCATCTGCAAGCATGAGGCTAGGGTTCGAGCCCACACAGTCTTGCAGTAGCAGTTTACACTTTGCAGGTGTGAAGCAAATGCCGAAGCGCGAGGCAGAATTATTTAGGTTAACATTGTTTGCATTACCACGGAGTCAGATCCAAGAAGAACTATGTCGTCTGCGTACTCGATGTCTGTGAGCGGAGGCCCAGGGAGCACTTCGACCCCACAGGCATTAGGGGCTGGTAGTGAGTCTTCCATGATCGTATCAATGACGAAGTTGAAGAGGAAAAGTGAAAGAGGATAGCCCTGTCGGACACCATTTGATGTGGTGAACTCAGGAGAGAGCTTCCCGTAGACCATTACACGGCCGTGGCAACTGGCGTACAGCGCCATAATGAGGGGCAAGAATTTACGGGGGACACCTTTGCTCCAAAGCACACAACTGAAGGAGTCGATCTAGGTTGTCTTTGCGGCGAGCGTCGACTCCGAATCGGCCACCCAAATGTTATTCCAAGGAGCTCAGACGACCTACTTGAGCATTCAAATCGCCTGCGAGGATCACAATGTCGGTGCTTTTTGCCTGACGAATGAGCCCGGATAGCTCTCGATAGAAAGTATCCTTCTCCGCATCAGAATTGCAGTCTGTTGGGGCATAAGCCGACACGACAAACAGGCACCGCTTTTTATGCCGGAAGAAATCGAGCTTGATTGAACTCTTCAACAGCCCACGACCGGTCTCGCCATCCTTCGGAGTTCATCAGGTGGGCGCAGCCCCCGAATTTTCGTAATTCTCATGCTCCATTTGAACCCAGGTGAGTCTCCCGGAAAAACCAAAATGGTATGCAAATGAGTGTCTAAGTTAAGCATTTTGATGCTTTTCAAGCTTCCCTCCCACGACTAATCTAGTCACTCACTAAATCCGAGTCTACCTCACGAACCCCCTCTAAGAAGCATTTGTGGCCGCTTGCTACAATTCTGTAATCACTTACTTGGCTCTTTTTCCGTTTGAGCCCACTACTCTGTATAAACTGGCGTCTAGCTTACTTTTGTAAAGCGCTGTTGACAAGTATTCCAGGTGAATTTCTCAGCGTATAAGAAACACTACCGATAAGACGTACCACCATCGTAAACTTGCATACTGAAAATTCACGTTCGGATGCACAAAGCTTTAACTCCTTGACTTGGGATGATGATAATCGCGGTGTGGTGTCAATTACGAAGTAGACGTTCGTGAAGATGACGACTAAGGCGATGGTGAGGAAAAAGATACTGACGATGACCACTAACATAACGATGTGCATATGTATGACACCACCTGAGAAGCGTATTTTTTATCTTTTACATGCAGACAATTCTGACAACTGTTAATGTCATGTTGCTTCCTCTAATATTGACCACTTCTTGTGTTGCGTTTCTGCTGTCATGACCTCAGTAGGTATCATGACAATGCAAACCATAGATTTCATACATCATCAACTAGTAATTTTCACTCTACATTTTCAGCTCATATACGATTGAAGCGTACATTACGCCCTTCTATTCCGTCTCCTTTTTAATCTCTACCTGGGACCGCCCGATGCTCGCAACAGTGTTCATCCTAATTTGTCACTATTGTTAAGAGTAGAGAAGCCAAGAAAGTTCCGCTTACCATGAAGGTTATATGTTGATGTCATTGTCGAAGTATTGTCTGACATAACAAGGTCGAAATACTTTCAAAATTAAAGAGTCCGATGCTGCTCAAAAAGTACCTGCTGTGGGCAGATGCATTGGATGTGAGAAAGTAATGCCTTACTATCTGAGCCCTCGGGACAGGCTGGCCCCCTGCAGTCAAGCTGGTCAGACTATTGAGTCATGAGCATCGGAAAGAGACCACCAAGAAAACCCTAACCGCTGCCTCCCGGTTCAGACTTCTGAGTCACAGGATAGAGCCCGGGTCCCCGAACAAAACCCTACATCTTCCCACTGCCTTGTGGCTCAGACTTTTGATGGTGGGATACCCCAACCAACCCCCCTTCTGCGACCAGGGCAACAATGAAGCAGCATTTACCCTTGCAGCGCTTCGCTCAAAGGCCTTTTCCCTTGTGGCTTTTTGATGGTGGGATACCCCAACAGACCCCCCTTCTGCGACCAGGGCAACAAGGAAGCAGCATTTACCCTTGCAGCGCTTCGCTCAAAGGCCTTTTCCTACACTCTCTCCCAATTCATCGAACGGTGCAGTGCGACCAATTTATGTGAGCCCCCTACCCACTATTCTGTGTATAAAACATCGCCCAGAAAAATAAATCAAAATAATCACTAACCTCAAAAGATCGGATCCACGCTGCAACCTTTAATGTCCGTACTCTACGTTAAACTGGGCAACAGTCACATTTTGCTGAAACCTTGCTTCCCTCTCTTGATGCATATTGTGTCTCCGAAACACGTATACAAGACCCCACTCCGGTCGTACTCCTCAATCCTCTTAGGACGAGTTCAGAGGTTCCACACTTCACTTTTCGGGTATCCGGTGATCCCGACGCAATGGCTCTTGGTGTCTACGGCGTTAAGTTCCACTCAGCCCGAAGACTGAAAGCGCAGGACCGAATCCCAGTAAACAGTCGTCTTTGCGCTGTAAGGTTATCTGGCCCAATTAAGATCGATGTAGGTGGATTTGGTGAACGGTATTTATTTGTCGTATACCCTCCAACAGACTGACGTTCTTAGGGTGAAAAGGACGGGTTTTACCAAGATCTATCGCGACTGCTTTGGTCAACAAGAAGGACGGATATAGTAATCCTGGTGGGTGATATGAATGTCCAAGTTGGACGAATAAGCCCAGTTAAATGACAGATTTGGAATCAATGCTCAGCGCGCGGATAGTGCACAGATGCATATTTGGTTGTGTGCTCATCATCGTCTGTTCCTAGCCAGTACGAATTTTCAGGACAAACGGTCACATCGAGTCTCTTGGAGGTCATCTAACACGGGACAGTCATGGACCAAATTAGACCATGTGGCTATCAATTACCTATGGAGAGCCTCGGTTAAGAATTCCCATTCCTTCCGGCGTACGAAACTTGATTCTGATCATGCCATCGTGCTGGCCCGGCACTTCGCTTTCCGTCAGTATTACGCGCGCCAAAGGAGAGCAGCTCCGCTCATCAACTTCGACAAGTTTTAGTAGTTCAAGAGTACCAAACGGACCTGTCTAGAAGGTTACCGGAAGCGCACGGTCATGTAGATGATGTTGGACGTTGAATGGCCTACGCCCTCGGCTTTTGGAACCACCTTTCTGAACCATCCTACTCATCCAAATGAACACTAGATATCAAGATCAGCAGATATTATTTATGCCAGAAAAGCACGATCAGCAACTAGCGACTGTGATGGCGCACGCTGATCTATCAAACACCGGATAATCAGGAGCTTGAAGAATGACAAAACGCTGGCGGACTTCGAAGGCCTCGGAGATGGAGAAAGAAACAGCCGCGCCGTTTAAAATGATTCGAACAACCGATGAGACAGGTATCAACGAAAAAATATGTGAAAAAGACGGAACGCAATGCACTCAGTCAATCTTCATCTTGGGCGGTGGACTGAGCCCTTTAAAGAACAATTCGGCTGGTCTCCTCCAACATAAACGTCTGGAGAGCCCAGCAAACCTAAATGGAACATTCACACCAATCCGCCATCAACAACTGAAACCCAGAATGACATATCAATCCTGAAACGCGATAAGGCACCTGCCCCGGATGGTCTGCACACCACGCTCACGAAAGAAGGCGACGAGGTCCAGGAGGCAGAGGATTTGGATCAAAAATAGAATACCAACTGAATGGAGCTCGCCGACCGTCATCCCAGTTTACAAAAAGAGCGCAAGAGAGATCATAGTGGAGATCATAGTGGTATCAGGCTGGTGCCCGTCTCATTTAAGGTGTTCTCCCGCATTATTTTGCGTAGTTTGACCGGTTATCAGGAGAGACAGATTGGTGAGAACCGAGCTGGGTTTCGCCCTGGCGGAGACAAGATCTTGAGCAGTTCCACTCCTTCAAACTGCCCACGTTCCTGAAAGCTGCTTTTGATTTTAGTGACTTTCAGAAACCTTGGCGATACCTGGCGATCAAGTGTCCCTTACAAATTGATGTCCCTCACACCTGAGAGTTGCTGCTACAAGACTGGGTTGGATCAAACCCAAACCTTATGATTACAGACGGGTTAATTAACATGGTAGATAAATTTCCCTACCTACACAGTTGTATAAGTTCGGGCAGACTAGGTGGAGATGAGATTACTTCTCGAATCGGAAAGGCCAGGACAGCTTTTGCCAACTTCTGACACTTACGGCGCCGACTTGACAACAAGGGTAGAGTTTACACTGCGTCAATACGATCCATACTGTTTTACGGATCAAGATCTCCACGCACAGAGGACGTACGAAAGATGTCAGTGTTTGACCGAAGCATTGGTCAGGTCCGGAAAATCCGGTTAGTAATGCTGAAGCACGCCAGATCGTCTTAGGAAGAAGGAACTCTCTTGCGGTAAATGAAATGCTCAAGCCCTATAGGTTGCGCTGGTCAGGACACATACTCCGCAGGCCATAAGACCGTTTGCCCTGCAGGGGTCTTTTCGCCCATCTCTGTGCTGAGTGGAAGCGACCGAAAGTTCGACAACATATGACCTGGCAATGGATTATGAAAAGCCAAACCAGCAAACTTAGTCGGGTCGACAACAGCTGCCTCCCTGATTGGAGACCTCGGTACTCAACTCACCAATGGTTGATGACACCGACAGGAATGGCCCAATCGCAGTCAGTAGCGCTCGTGCGCCAAAGCCAATACCTTCAACATCCAGCTACCCAATTCCTCGCCTTTAGGGCTAGACGTGTCTCCCGCACACTTTCACTTCCCGCAGCTGGAACCAATGTGCCAATGGTTTACTATTTGACCGTGTATTTGTGTGCATGCTTGTCTTTCCTAAGTGAACACTCGAATGTCGTCTCACCTGTGCTTTCCCCCAACAAGACAATTTCCGTCAATGACTGTTTGCCTTGTGTAAATTAGCACAGAAATCTAAATTCTACCAGTGGCAGTTCAACGCTGCATCACTCTCAAGTCAACATTTTTGTCTCAATCTTTTACCGCGGTTCATTCAGCTGGTTTACACATAGCTTATAAAGGCCAGAAATCTTCTACCTAGATGCGACAAGGAAACTTGAGTCGATGTGCATTAGTTAAGCGGTACACAGAGACCAGGAGGAATATGATATATCTGATATGCATACGGCGGCTTGGGTTATCGCATTTTAGTGTGTTGGTATTTCTTCCAACCGTCTCGATATTTCTCGCATCATTCACGATGAAATTCTAGATCGCACAGTAGAACAAGGGGAATTTAATCGGCTGGTATAGCTTCCTTTCAAGCCATACGATGTGTAAGTTCCTCGATCGCCAAAGAAAAGCGATTGAGGGCAGTTCAAAGGCACTTACCTCATTCACATTGATTCTCGCTTTTGCACTGGTTTCCATGTGACTGCACCTCCATTCATTTGCTAACCTCTGTCCCTGATCACGTCCAACACTACGTTCGTCCTCCAAATCACACTTGTTGCCAACAAGTACGAGAGGAAACTCGTCGACGTCCTTCACTCGCAGAATCTGCTCACGAAGATCGGCAAGGTCGTTTAGCGAAGACTGCTGCGTTATCGAGTACACCAACAGAAATCCCTGTCCATTTTTCATATAAAGATCCCGCATAGCGGTAAACTGCTCCTGAAGCAAGTATATGACAAACAAAAGGGCGAATTTACTGTTCCAGCTGTATCTAGTATCTCAAGCATACATTGTTGGGAATCTATCTCTACTTGCTTTCGGTAACTATCTTCAATCGTCGGATCGTATTTCTCGACAAAAATTCCTTGCACGAACTGTACGGTGAGGGCACTTTTCCCGACACCACCGCTCCCCAGAACAACCAACTTGTATTCTCTCATCCTCGAACCGCAGTGGAAAGCGAACAACCAGTTGGGCTTTCAAAAATTCTGGATTCTCATTGGTTCCGCCTAGACGGGCGGGCGGTTAGACGAAAAACCTTTGCAGTGGAAAATAAAATGTTGCATTTTGTTGCATATGTGCTCAGACCAAAAATCATTCCAATCTGCCATCATTCATTGCGATTTGTTATAATTAATCTACTTTCAAATTTTTTTATTTTGGTCTCGGCTTCCGGTAAATGGAGGGCTAACCGAGGAAGAGAAGGGCACCTGCTGGGTCCTGCTGAAGTATGGAATGCCATTGTATGAATTGCTGCAAGATACTGACCATTCAGAACACGTACAAACACCTTCAGAAGTGGCGACCGTGTATGTTGAGTTGGTGCCCCATAGCTGGGTTTTATTGTGACGGAATATATGACTTCGGTCCTGACAAAACTTTGCGCTTCGGCTGCCGTCAAGGGAAGGTCACTGTAGCCACATGCGCCTCTTCAGATGGCAGCAGATAGCGTGGTTTCGACGCACACAGGTTTCAGAAATATCTGCAAACAGTGCGCGGCGATTCCTCTCCTAACTTACGACCTAATGGTTGTACATTACCCGGAAATGGGCTGTACGTGCACAGTCCGAGATGGTTCGCTTTCCTTATGTAAAAACAACCAGTTGAAGGATGCCAACGGTTGCTTTAAAACCCGGGCGCCCCTCTCCGGGTGTCCATCCAAAAGGCCTCCCGGCATGCCGAGTGGCTCATGCGAAGACTTGAGATGCAAATGCCGTTCCACTGCGACAGGCTGGAAATCCTAGACGAGGTCCCAAACGTGGTATATCAAATAACAATTCATATATGTCCCCCAGTTTTGAGGCACTGGGAGCCGCGACCGTCAAGGCTGCTTTATCATAGTGTTGGAACAATGAAGGCGAAATCGACCAACATTAACTAATTTATAGGTCGTGCTCGCATGTGCTCCCAGAAGGTTGACAACTGTTCTTTGGACGAAAAATGTTGGTAGCTCGGGTAGGGTAGATGGTCGTAGGCTCGTTCGCTGAGCTGGTCAATTGAATTACAACGTTTCATCGTCAGTCGAGGTGACATCATCAGTTTGTCATTGGGGGGCGTAGTGGTGGACGGTGGTGGGGTAGTGGTTGTGCTTTGAGTCGTGTCATGTGTTACGGCAGATTCGATCGACCGGTGCATCAAACTGGATCCAATTTACACAACTCTACGTGCAAAAGACCAACATCTCAACTGGACCACTGAAACAGGACAAAATATTGGATCCACAAACAAAGAAAACAGCAACTCATTAAAGTCAAATAGATGACGGTCACAAGCCGGGTCTCGGAAGGACAAAGGTCGCTCCAACATCGACCAGAATATGACTGGAGGGATGCAAAACTGGAAGTTCACAGGGACGTCGGCGAGTGAGGGCATGGGATAACAGAGCAACCAATGGAACCGCCTGACCGGACAACTAACCGCGGTCAAAGGTCATTCCCGGCTAGCAGGACGTATAAAAACGCACACGTGAAAGTACCCAACACACAACAACTAACCCACCGTTGCGCACCACTACGCTCCCCAATACCGCACTGAAGATATCACCTCGATTGGTGATGGCACGTTCGTAGTCAAATTGCCCGGCTCAGCAAACGGGTAAATGACCATTGACACCCCTGTTGGAGAGCGCACATGCCTCTTCTACTAGGCGATATTGCTCCCTTGTATCCGTTTGTCCTCGGTAATCGGAGATCGTTCGATTCCAAACTATTTTTTATAGATTTTCTCAGGTTGATTCCCTGTGCACCAGAGGTGATTTTCAGGTTACAACTTACCGAAAAAAGTTGTACGCTCTACAATTGTTCCTAAACCACCGCTGCGAGCTCCTAACGGCCTGCGTAAACAGCTGAACTGTGTGGCGGATAAGCTACAGTGGTAGGAACACAGAAGGCCGCAGCCATCATTGAGCAATTGATTGTTCATCGGCGAATCCATTGTGACCGACGCAATTACCCTGTGGTTAGTTGATCAGTCATCGTTGCCCCATCCACATGTTAGTCGTGTGCATCAGCTCGGTTCGTTCAGCTGTCCACAACGATCAACGACATGGTCTTCCTGGCGTATCTCGCAAGTCATAATTGAACACTCTTCTGTTTAGCAACAAACTTGCGCAATTTTCCAGGCAATACTGAATGCGGCTCCCGCGATTTTAACCCGTAGTTGCATTTATCGAGCAAATGTTGTTTAGAGGAGTGGCACTTATTCGTATTTTTCGAACAAACGGGCCATGCGGTTTCTAGAATGTTCAGCAAATTATTTCATCCGCAAAAACTACCTGCAAGTTCTGTCCATTATATGTGATTCACCTTTTACCGCAAGTCATCATATCTTAATGAACTGGGGTGGAGTAGTCAGGTGAGCTTGGTGGACTGAGTGCCTAACTTTTACGGTCAAATGTGTTCCCCTTGAGTTTGACTCATCGAGCATTATGAAGCACCTTCTCACAATGCCCAGTCGTTTTGGTATGCGGTTAAATGGCTTCATCACTGGAGGTTTGTATATTTTGGTAGGGAGTGTCCGTTCAAAGGTGGGGTAAGTAGCCGGACGATGCATGGTTTTTGTTCAGCTTTCTCCAAACTCGCCTTTTCCCTTTGGTTCACTTGCCTCCTCATGTAGTGAGTTTTTTTATCTTTTTTAAAATTTTCTTCGAGTTCCTTTTCGTTCGTCATTCGCGACAGGGCCTTCAAAAGCCAAGATTGGTTATATAAGCGAGTTATAACTCAATTAAGTGGTTGAGACTGCGGACGGGACTATATCAGCAGCATTATCCGGTTCGTGAACTGGACGACTCATCCAGCAAAGCTGTATCAGAAAGCAAGAAGCGTACCGCAAGTGTTCAGGCAATTTTGGAGGGCGATGTTACGGTCGAGGAAAAGATAGGATGGAGTGAGAAACCCTTTAATGATTAACTGGTTGGCAGCACAATTGCACTGTTTGGACACCTTGCCGATGCACATAATTTAACACACCCTCCTGCACAAGGGGGGGAAGGGCGATGGAAGGATGACAAGCACACATGTGGTAAACCAGTCAGACGGGACGGTAAGCTGCCACGCCGCCTGTACCCAACTGATTGCAGAGTCACCCGAAAGTCGCCTAATAATTTTGCACGAACCTAAAAGTCAAGCCTAGGAAGCAAGAAAATCCAGAGAGTAATTTTGGTACACATTTCAAATTATACGTTGCAGTTTCAAACATTCGTGCGCCACATTTAGTCGCTGTTGAAAATTTTGCGGGTTTGACGCCTCGAAGAACAATACATTTTCCTGCAAAACCCCTGTGGGCGAAATAAAAATAATAAATTCAAAATGATGCACTTATTTGCATACATGCTCAGATTGAAAATACCCCTCATCTACCGTCATTATTTTGCGATTTGTTTTGTTTT